CATTCGACAAGGATCTCTTTGTAGAAGCTCTCCGGGAAGGCGCGTTCAGCGGGCAAGAACTGAAGCAGACAGAGCAGAGCGAAGGGTGGTGTTTCGAGCAGCCAAGGCCGCTCCAAAATAGGAGATAAAGCTGAGCAAGTCAAACTGCTTCAAGGAGCTGTGCCGAGACGCTGATGCCAACCCCTGGGGTGACGCATACCGAGTCGCGATGGTGAAGATTAGAGGTCCAACGACGCCCGTTGAAATGTGCCCAGACAAGCTGAAAGTCATCGTGGAGGGACTTTTCCCGAAGCACGACCAAATGACCTGGCCACCTACACCGTACGGCGAGGCAGAGGCAGACAACACCGAAGATAGACAAGTCTCCAACGAGGAACTCGTAGCAGTGGCGAAAGGGCTGAAGACTAAGAAAGTTCCCGGTACGGATGGAATCCCCAACGTGGCGTTGAAGGCGGCGATGCAGGCGTTCCCGGACATGTTCAGGATAGTGCTGCAGAAGTGTCTGGATGAAGGTCACTTCCCGGACCGATGGAAGATACAAAAGCTAGTGCTGCTGCCGAAACCCGGAAAACCGCCGGGGGATCCAGCATCGTATAGGCCTATACGCTTGCTGGATACAGTCGGAAAGCTATTGGAGAAGATCATCCTCAACAGGCTAACGAAATGCACGGAGAGTGAGCATGGATTGTCGGTGAGGCAGTTCGGATTCCGGAAAGGGAGATCAACGGTGGATGCAATTCGGACAGTGGTGAGAGTGCCGAGAAAGCGTCTAAACAGAAGCGGAGAGGAGGTCGATATTGCGCCGTGATAACGATCGACGTGAAGAACGCATTCAACAGCGCCAGCTGGGAGGCCATCGCCGAAGCACTGCATGGAATGAGGGTTCCTGATTCCCTGTGTAGCATTATAAGGAGTTACTTCCAGAATCGGGTTCTAGTCTACGAGACGGACATGGGAGAGAAATCAATCCGGATCACGGCGGGTGTGAAACAAGGCTCCATCCTTGGCCTAACGCTCTGGAACGCGATGTACAACGGCGTGCTAACGCTGAAGCTGCCCAAAGGAGTCGAGATCGTAGGATTTGCGGACGACGTCGTGTTGGCGGTAGTAGGCGAGACGTTCGAAGAGGTGGAAATGCTGGCAACCGAAGCGAACGACACGGTTTCCAACTGGATGCAAGGAGCGAAGCGAAGGTATAGATTATTATAAATTTAACCAATGATTGCAAAAAAAGGTTCTACGTTGTCTATGCTTCAAATAAGAGTGTTCAAAATTCGACTATGACTAATTAATTGTAGTTAAATTTGTTTCAAAAACATTATTTGTTTACGTTTTCTCACACACGCTCGAAACTAAAACAGATTTCGCCGCCGTACTGATGTCAAGGCGAATTACTTCCTAAGCTAAGCTAAGGTCCCTAACAACAAGGCACGCGGCTATGTCGTTGGTATTGATGCCTTCGATACAATCGATGGACTTCGTTCTGGTGAAAATGCTGATCTGTCGATATGCGGATGGTTTGATGGTTTGATGGTGTCGATGACTTTGCTGTGCTTGGTGGGTCGATCGATGAATGGTGAGATCGATTGGCCCTTGGACTCGGGTGGTGTTGATGTAATGATATCGGTCAACCTAGAATGTGTACCGTAGCTGCTGTTTGGTGGCTAAGTGCTTTCATCATGTAGGATTGCACTGTATCATTTTTTTAAATGTGCTCAGATTTTTGCTCCCTATCAAAAATTTACTTCCTATGTACCCAAATAGCCTCTGTGCAAAAAATCAGCTCATTTGCTTATAAGAAGACCTAGCCCAAAGCCCTTTCGTGAAATAAAATCACTTTTCGAAACATTTTCAATTTTCAACGGTCATAACTCATCCAAAAAACTATTTCAAACAATTTTTTTATGGCTTTTGCTAGGTCTGCAGAACAACTCCTCTGAAGATAGAAGGTGCCTAAAGGAATCTTTAAAAAATATAAATAATATTGCACCACCATATATTTGCAAGTTTTCACTTGTTTCGTGAGAATCTATGCCAAATCATTTTGTACAGCAAAACTTTGATTGCTAGGGGTTAGGTAACCATAAAATACAACTTTCGCGCATATATACCTTGACTGTGAACGTATAGTTTAGACGTTAATTCAGTTCTTTTAGATCCACATTTAGCGTAATTGATTGGAGGTAAGCTTGCAGTATCGATTTAAATCATAGGGGGTCATACTTTAATTATGTCACGCTGAATTTATGGAAAATTAAACCCCCCTTCTCCCTTTCGCCACGTTTTTCCAATACCCAATGCATTGCTTTTCGTGCGAAGCCGTTTGACACCATAAATCGTGGACACTCGTTTACGATTTCTCGAAGGTCATCAGAAGAAAGCTGTACTCGCTGAAAGTTCGTCCTGTTTGTTGATTCTTCTCCATTATACTGTTGTATTATGTAATATCAAGATTCTTAAGTCGAACTTACAATTAAATCTTAATACCCATGCACAGTATTCAGCATAATACTGTTCTTATGATCGCTTAGCGCTAGTTTCGCTTCTTTCGATCGTTCAAATTTTTGGAAGGCTTCATGGATTTCTTTCGGCAAATCAGTTTAACGAGTAAATGAACAACAAGAATGGGTACCCCTATGAGTAAACCCAATACATCCAGATTGTGGTACTGTACCAAGTTAAGATCCATCGAGGCAGTCCGAATGTGTGGCGCACCTTTGTGACGGAGGACATATTCCGTCCAATATACAGCCAGGTCGAGAGGGTTTATAGGTTGGTCACGGTACCGCTGAGATATAGCCTGTGCATTAACTTTGAACTGCGGGTCATGCAAGATCGTATTGATCGCCGTAGAAACTCGTTCCTCGGATATTTCCGCATATGCAACAGACAATCCGTAGCCTCCACGCTCTGCTTTGGCCATATTCAGGTATTGATCGCCAAAGACAGGAATTCCGATGACTGGCACTCCGTGGTACAACGATTCCGTAGTGCTCAGAAGTCCGCCGTGAGTGATGAAGAGTTTTACGTTGGGGTGTGCCAGGATATCATCCTGAGGCCACCAGTTCTGAATGAGCACGTTCGATGGCTTGCCTGGAAGGTTCTCATCCTCCCATTTCCACAGTACTTTCTGTTTGAGTTTCGAGAAAACTTTCAGGAATGCATCGCGTTTCTCTTTTGGCAGATCTTTGCCCTTGATGTTTGAGCCCATTGAGAAGTAGATCACCCCGTCGGTGGCGTTATCGATGAAGCTTTGAATATCGGCCGGAAGTGGGTTGGGGACCCGATTGATGTGCATTCCGCCAACCTCGATCATACCGGTAACGTACGGTCTAGGGTAGTTGAGCGAAAAGTGGTTGTTTAGCAGCACCAGTGAAATAGCACTTTTCTTCAGCTGGGCGAGTGGAGGTTTTGGATCAGGGAATGCCTTCATGTACATCTCAGTTTGGGCAGGATTATCCAGAACGTGTTCAACGACGATGTCCGTACCGCTCGTCAAGGTGTTGATCAATCGTTCCTTGAAGGTCATTCGATCCGAAAAACCGAGGAACGGATTCGGAACGTAGGAAGGAGGTGATGGAGATCCTACCAAGTCAGTTGTCCACTTGGAGGCTCCAAATGTGGATATTCCGATGCATGGCGCCTTGAAGAGGTGACAAAAACCTGAAAATGATTGAAACATTATAATTATTATTGGAATTATGTGTATTACTGAAGAAAAACGGTACAACAATGGATTTCTCTGCACGGTGTTCATTCATTCGGCCGGCGCACGGTGGAACGAAATAATAAAAAAAAAATCTTTTGAATTCAGAAGTGTTTAAGTTTTACTAGCTTTAATTCACTAGTGTTTAATGCTAGACAAACGCTGGCCATTAGAAAGCCTGAAATCAGCAGTAAATCCACAACATCCAAGCCACAGCTCACGATAGGATTTTTAAACCGGAAATCGATAATAATGCCACGTCCGAAAATAACCGCATGCTCGATCTCTGTTTCGTAAGTGAGGAGATGTGCACTGATTGTTCCATCATATCAGCCCCCTCCGAGCTTGTTAAAAACTGTAGACATCATCCTCCTCTGCTGGTGAGCATAAAGCTCAACGTTCATCGTAATTTCAAAGACACTGTAGAGAGCGTCCCCTATAGCTTTGTCGATAGAGAGCGTCCCCTATCTCAAATGTCGACTGGGAATGGGCACTGCGTGACTGTGATTCTAATCTCGCGGCATCGACGACATCCAACATTCTTTTATACGCAATCGATCAATTCGTACCTAAGCGAATCAATCGCGAACCTGTTAAATCTGCCTGGTCGAATTCAGAGCTTAAGTGATTGAAAAAATTTAAAAGGGCTGCTCTTCGTAAGCACAGCAAATACGAACCGATTCCACGAAAGCATGTTATTCTATAGCGAATACGGATTACAAGCGACTCAACAACCAACTGTACCATGCAAATCCTTAGAACTTTTGGCGCCATGTGAATGCCTAAATAAAGGAAAGCGGACTACCCTCAAGTATGACGAACGGCGTAGTGGAAGTGGACTCCATCGTGGGTATTGCCGACTTGTTTCGCACGCAATTCAGCAGTGATTTCAACGACGAACGACTCAGCACTCAGGATGTACTTGCTGCGTCTAGTAACGTCTCTCCCTCAACCTTCTCCAGCCATCCATTTTCTATCACAAGCGAAATGGTTATTTCATCCGGAAAGCAGCTAAAAACTTCAACGGGTGAACGGCAGATGGCGTACCGTCGTTAGTCCTCAAACGCTGCCTGACTGCTCTCGCATCACCTCTAGCCAACGTTTTCAATCTCTCCTTGATGTCTAGGGTTTTCCCAGCTTGCTGGAAAGAGTCTTTCGTGTTCCCAATCCACAAGAAAGGCTGCAAAAGGACCTCCAAACTTTTTGAGTTGATTATACTCGAAAAATTGGTTCAAAGTTTTGCACACTGTATCTCGACGGAGCAGCATGGCTTCATGCCTAAGCGTTCCACGACGTCCAATTTAGTTACGTTCACTTCGTTCATTATTCATAAAGTAGAACGTGGCCATCAAATAGATGCCATTTACACAGACCTCTCCTCAGTATTTGACAAAATGAACCATGGCATTGCGTTGGCTAAATACGACAGGATAGGTGTTCAAGATGGTCTGTTTACTTGGCTCTACTCCTATCTGACTGGTCGAAACATGCAAACTGTCAAGATTGGAGACTATTAGCGAATTCGTTTATTATTCAGTTCCAACCTGGATCGGGTATCAAGATTGGGTCTGCTTGTTTTCTGACAAACGTCAGTTTGCTCGTTTGTTTTTAAAACCTAGCTCAGGTTGAGGTTCACACTGACAAAAACTTCGGTTTCGCACTGGGTCGGAACTGGTGTTAACCCCGATAATAAACGAATTCGCTATATGTTTCTTCATCTTTCCCCGTGACATCCAGTGTTCCCCAAGGTAGCCATCTTGGGCCATTTCTGTTACTGTTGTACATGAATGACGTCAATACCATTGGAGATCGAAGTGTGCTCTGCTTCTGTACGGACGTGAAAAATTTCCTAGTGTCAAATTTACGGTTTTATTTTTTCTTGGCGTTTTCTAATTTTAGTGCAAGAAAGTGAAAGTGATCGGTTGGAAATGCATTCGAAAGTGTTTTCGTTTATCATAATCCTTTTCATCAGAACTTTTATTAGGCGATTGGCAATCTGGCCCGATGATTCTGATTGGAGGCAGGTGCAATAGCTTCTTTGAAGATCCGACGGAATGTTGTGAAATGTTTAGCTAGAATTAGGAGATGCAACAGTCTTTCAAGTATTGGCTTCAAGTGCAAACCATCGTTCATTTGGTGAGTTCGTTCCTGTTTATTTGTTCACTTGTTTCGATATCATCTATCAGTTTTCTACAATTTTGTCTTGGACATCTTTTCAAAGAGCCACGTTCATGCTGTAATTTGTCGAGCGCACAATTTTCACATGTTGAGATCGAGTGGAAACGTCAAGATAGTCATCAAGATAGTGCTTTTGTTTCTGGTTTTAGACGTTTGATGTCTTCAGTGATGTTTTTGTACTTTAAAGTTCCCTTTATCTGTGATCATGGTGGGTCTAAAGAGTGTTTGTTGAGCACGCTGAGCACGATGATGATTTCCTTGGTTGCGTGAAATATATTTGTGAGAATATCTTTTTGAGATTTTAGTTGTCACGTTTTGTTTGTAGTTTATATTTTATTTCTTTCATGTAATCATCGTTAATAATAGTTATTCAATAATAGATAGTTCATCCATATATTCGTACTTTGACGCGAAGCGCTGCGGATTATGAGATGCTCGATGACCCTGGAGGGATCGATTTTGCTTACTGAGCAGAAAATCATGGATTTAACCCCAACCTCTTCCACAGCACAATAAATCGCCACCATCATTTGTATATTTGATATTGAATATTAACCTCGGAAACTATTTGCATATCAAGCGAAAACGTAGCCCTGTATTGTCGCGAAGCGTTATGGTTCTGAGATGCTCGATGACCCTGGAGGGATCGTGTTTGCTTACTGAGCAGAAAATCATGGGTTTAATCCCAAGCTCTCCGTCATGACTCTTAAAATTCATGATCACTAAACAAAATGAATATCGAGAGATTAAATAAACAACAAATAAACAATACATACTTTTGGTTGCATCGCCAACTTGAGGTGAATCCTAACCGAATACCCTACCCAACCCTCCAACTCCGTAGCACTTATGAGGGTGTCGCTAAGTCGGTGGCCTCTCGTTAAGTAAGTACTACATCAACATTTCCTTCCCTATCCCTAGTTATGGTAAAGATGGGCGTGGCCGGGAATAGCGGCAGTCATGCTTCTGTTACTCTTGTTTAGATTGGAACCAATGTTTACTCCCCAGCATTATGCCTGAAAGTAGTCTAACTGAGAATTTCAGAAGAGACGTGAGTGTCGCTAGTATCCAATCTACGAAGTATATCATAACAACGCTAACGCTAACGCTAACGCTAACGCTAACGCTAACGCTAACGCTAACATGAATGACGTCAATACCATCCTGAAATGCCTTAAACTATCGCGGATGACTTGAAACTCTATTTCGTGATAAAAGAACCTAGTGATGCCATTTTCTTGCAGCAACAATTGGAAGTCTTCGCTGAGTGGTGTCGTATTAATCGCATCCCAAGTAACCAAAAGTTCTGATAAAAGGCTATTTGTGGCTAAAGCAGCTTGGTTGGTGGTGGTCTATAGAATCCTAAGCAGCCTCGTTTTTAAATTGTTATAAGAACTTGAAAGTTCCGATATCTTAATTGAAGAGCATTCTAAGCAGCTTCTGGCAGAACTTAAACGGAACTTTTTAGAAAATAAATTAAAAAAGGTTTTTGTGCTCTCACCAATTCTATGTTTATAGTTCGCACTTTTATGAAAGTTATTTTTAAAGGCAGGTATTAATGTGTATTGATTTATCAGCATTAGTAGTAGAACTAGACCTGTTTGAAGAATTAAACCCAGTCCTTCGGCGTGAGAGCCCCAGCACGAACTGCGGCGTCATCTGGGATATAATAAAGTGAGCTGCTGTCCCGCCTACTGTTGGAGTTTTCAGTGCCAGCTGACTGACTTGAATACGAAAAACAACACCTTGATGAATTTTAAATTGGTGTTTGTCCGCATGGTATTCCAACGCATTTGTGGCGCAGTGGTTAGCGTTCGTAGATCGCATGCCCGAATATACGGGTTCGAATTCAGGAAATTACTTTTTAATTATTTTTTTTATGTTTGGATAGAATGTTGATGCACTGCATAAATATAAAGGTGCCGCCACACGGAGGCTATTTCTAGTATATTGCGAGCTATGTGATAGAAAACTATATTATAGCCCATGGGAACACCTAAACTATGACGTGATAGCTCATTGTTATAACTTGCAAGTTATAGTTTAGAGCTATGACATAGAGCCGAATTCATTGTCATGTGTACACTCTAGCGATAGTTTCTATATCATAGTTGCAAGCTATAAACTATTCCATCAAGCCGGAATAGTTCATAGTATATTGGTCATAGTTTTTTGACAGCAGTATGTGCGCGGTGTTTTAGTTTTTGTTTAAGAAACCACTCATAGACGTCTTATCAAAATGAATTCGGAGTTGTGTTCGGAATATGGACTCTGGATACTAAGGGATGGTCCACCGGAAGATCCGGAACATCCGGAAAAGTGCTCAATTAATTAAACAGTCCACGTTTTTTTAGAAACCACTCATAGACGCCAGGGAGGCAGCTCCCACACCTGGACCCTACCTATCGACCCATCAACTCATGAACCGGGGACCAACGGATTTACTTCCCTTTTACGGATGTTTCGGATCTTTCGGAGGACCATCCACTGCACAAGTCCCAAAGCCGAATTTAGCAAGAGAAAAATGTTTGCGCCCAAATTGTCAGTTTAAGGTACATAGTGTCTGAGGGAAAATTGCTTCATATATTTTGGCCGATCTTTTTATGTTAGTCAAATAAGGGTGGTCGACAAAATTGGAGAATTGAATTTTCAAACTTTGTTTTATTATTTGAGATAGACCAATGCAATGTTGTAAAAAGTTGTAGATCAATCAATTCGAAGCATTTTTGTTTAAGGCACCAAATTTATATCTCTTATGGTTCATGAATTAAATATTTTTAAACAAGCTGGTTAGGGTGGCCTTTAAAAAACAGATTTAGTTGAATAACTTTTCATACGTTCATTTCTCGTAAAAACGTTGTTCAGGACACATTTATAACTTATGATTACGCATATTGATGACGCAACCATGTTGCTATCTTTTTTTATTAGAAAGTTAATGGAGATATTCTTCGATATCTTTTTTAACTGTCAATATCTCTAAAAGGAGCAAACCGATTTTCAAACTTTTGATTTCTTTTGAAACATCGTGGTTTTATTCATTTTTGGTGAGAAACCAGTGAGAGTGATTAATTTAAAAAAAGTCCAAAATTTTACCAAAATCTAGCCATAACATTTCAAATAAGGGAGATATCAACTAAGTTGCTTCAGCAAAAATATTTTATGAACCACCCTTATTTCACTTACATAAAAAGATTGGCCAAAAAATACGAATAACTTTCTACAAGACACCATATAGCTACCTAAAAGTGATGGTTTGGGCGCAAATATTTTTGTCTTCCTAAATACGGCTTGGGACTTTTGTGCACTGGTCCCCAGCATAAAATTTCTGGTCATAAGTCCTAATTGATTCTGATAAGATGCCAAAGAGTGGTTTTGTGTTTCGTGAATCCAAGAGTCAATTTTCCGATCACTTCGAATTCATTTTAATAAGGTGTCAATGAATGGTTTTGAAAAAAAAGTAGGGTTCTAGGAATTGACCACTTTAATGAATGTTCCAGATCTTGCGCATATTGGTATCCTGCTTGGTAGTAACCGGTGAAACTTTCTCCAGGACATAACCAAAATCCTTTTTTTTTTCCTTTGGTTTGTTTTCCGTCGATCTTGTTTTTCGTGCTGAGCACCAATGTTACCGACGCCAGGGAGGCAGCTCCCACACCTGGACTCTATCTATCGACCCATCAACTTATGAACCGGGGACCAACGGCTTTACTTCCCTTCCGAAGGAAGGCGTGATCAGAGATGTTATGCCTCGGAACATCTCGGCGGCGCCGACTGGGATTGAACCCAGGCCTGCTGGGGTGAGAGGTAATCACGCTTACCACTACACCACTGGCGCCGGTTCTGAATTGTTAACCAAAATCCTGCTTTGTCATTCTCACAAAATTACGGTAGTATTCCGGATCTTCATCGCTCAACTCCTTCAGAAGATTAGTCTAGATTCCGAAGTCTTCACGCCGAGCAATCCACGATTTTTTCCAGATTGTATGACTTCTCCGCTTAATTCGCCTCTTCAAGATGAGGTACGCTAAAACTGCAGCTATTCTTTTCTTTTTTGTCTAGAGCTATCGGAAGTACCCATTTTTGCTTTCCTGCAATTATTTTTTTATGATGTGCACAGGTTCATTAAACGAACAAAAATGCACAAAAAATCAATCGTGTGTACACTTGAAAATTCTACGTCATGGTTTTCTTCTGCATAGCTTCTATTACGTCATAGTTCATAGTTTTTGAAAATTGTTTCCCAAATCTCAAAGAACTATGATATAGAAATCTAAATCGGCTATGTCATAAAGAACTATAACATAAATATCATGCGTCGTGTGGCGGCACCTTAAGATTTATGATTTATTCGGGCCACTGATCATTTCATATTTACGTACATTAAATTTTGTTACTAATAAAGTCGTGTGCGGATTGCTTCATGTGGCTTGAAAGTTTTGTCGGAACTTTATTTGAACTTAATGGAACTTGAAAGTTCTGTCGGAACTTTATTTGAACGTTATGGAACTTGAAGGTTCGGTCGGAACTATATTTGAACTTTACGGAACTTGGAAGTGATTTTAATCGTTGAATGCGGAACTTTTGGTTACTTGGGATGTCACTGAATGTCTCGAAATGCTCTGTAATTTTCTTCGGCCGCAAGCGTTCGCTTCTTTAACGTGAATCGACTATCAAAGATCTGGGAATACTGATCGACTCCAAGCTCAGCTTCAAGGATCACGTGGCATACGTAGTATCCAAAGCTTCATCACAACTCGGGTTCATATTCCGCTTCGCAAAAAAATTCAAAGATGTATACTGCCTAAAAGCATTATACTATTCGTTGGTGCGACCTATTTTTGAGTATTCTACGGTCGTGTGGTCTGCATACTACCAAAATGAAACCATGCGTATTGAAGCTATTCAACCGAAGTTCATTCGGTATGCTTTAAGGCATTTTCGCTGGAATGACCCTAGAAATCTGCCTAGCCATGAAAGCCGTTGTATGCTTATCAACTTAAAGCTTTTGGATGCGAGACGTAACGTAGCAATGGCGAGCTTTGTCGGTGAAACACTGACTATTCTACACTGCTGAGTAGTATCGACATCAATACCCGCCGCCGTAATCTACGATCGCATGCGTTCCTGAACAACCGCCTCTCCCGAAATCAGTTTGATAAGTAATAACCTCAGATTCAAAATCGAGTATAGTTATGTTAGTAACATTTAAAACAGTCATACCATGAGTATTTCGAAACTTGTTTTGAGTAAGCTATATGTACAGCGTGAAAACATTCAAATCCCGTAGCCCTTTTTCGAACTGTAAACCAGTTTTAAGGCACGTTTCCTTTATTTTAGAAACAGGCGTTTTCCATAGGGCTATACGTTCCAATTATGATGTGTTAAAATTATGGCATCTGAAATTTAAATAGGAACACATCATAATAGGGACGTATGGCCATAGCTGATACATCTATCCTATATGAATTGCCACAGCCCGCAACAAATCGCTCCGTATATCATTATTCATCACTCTTGGTTCTTACCTAGCATTGCATCATTCATAAAAATCTCCATAACGATTAAGTCGAATTTTTCATTGGAGTGGATCAGTTTCACAATGGCTGGATCACTCAGCGTACCATTGACAATAGTATGTCCGAATTCGTACGTTCGTTTGATGCTCTCTATAATTCCGGCCTGAGCGTAACCCAGTAAGTTTGCGTTGATTCCTAATTTAAGATCGTTAAAATCATTGCATTAGAAGTTCACTGGCGTCGCGTTCATTGTCTACACCACACTTACGATCAACTTCATGCCAAATCTTGGTCGTTGTAATATCGCGATAGTGATTGATGGGCTTCTTCAATGGAAACGGACTGATGACGGTTACCTGAACGGCACAAAGGAGATTATTTTCCCGTCATTTTTTGCTCTGTATGCTGAACCAACCTCATGACCATTATTGACCAGTGCTTTCATTAGCGCTGAGCCTACCATGTGATGGGACCTTGAAGATGTGGGAAGCACACCTAAAATCTTTGCTGAACGCACGTTTCTGGTGATGACCGATATTTCAACGGCAATAATAAACCACCAAATTTTCATCCTTGAGTTGGGCAATTAAATATTAGTATCAAAGAGGTTATTTTAAACACAGAACTTGTAACGTTAACACGACACCACGATTTGATGAGAACGGTTAGTCGTAGAAAATAATCACGCTATGAGTGTTCAAGGGTGGGGACGTTCGACACTTGAATTGTTTGAGTTAGTCGTCAATATGAGTATCCATTATTTACTCTAGTACCGTAGGTCGTTAGATGTTGTAGCATTGCCACCGACAAACCGACATGAATGACCATAGCAGTTAACATGCAATTTCTACACAAAGCACACTACTGACATCTGTCCTCATGTTCGCGGAAAACTTTCAGCTAAACCACGAACACACGTGGACAAATGATTTTTATCTAGATTAAAAAAATCCTATGATTTTGACAGATCGAAATGTGCAGCGATGAATCGGCCGTTGTAGATTTTTGAGCAAAATTTAAGTTTCATGTCGGTTTGTCGATGACATTACTTGCAAATTTTCAATAAACCTTGAAATGTACTAGCAGGGACGATCACTAACTGTTGCTGCATAGTTCATCGTTTCTAATTAATTAGTTGGCATTGACTTACCTATCATGGCATCGTTCATGAATATCTCCAGTACTATCAAATCAAATTTTTCATTTGAATTGATAAAAGCCAGCACGGCAGGATCGGTCAGCGTGCTATTGGTTACTCTGTGTCCAAAATCATAAACCCCTTTGATGCTTTCTATGGGACCTTGCTTGGCCATGCCCAACAGGTTTGCAACGAGCGCTGTGTGATATGTAGAGAAAAATATTCGTCATCTTGGTTGTCTCCTCACGCGCAAATGATTTGATGAATGTTTGCTAATCATCATTAAAATACTCACATTCAACAGCAGCCCATGTCTTAGTTGTCGTGATATCACGGTAATTTTTTAGAGGCTTCTGTTGAGGAAACGGGCTTATCACAGTCATCTAAACGAGGAAACAATCATATCACTTAAATGTACCGACTATCACTTATCACCTTCAAAATCACCTCATGACCTTTTTTGGCCAACGCCTTCATCAAGGCCGATCCCACGATGTAGTGTGACTTGGCGGTCGTTGGGAAGACTCCCAGAATCTTAGCCGGTTGGACATTTTGAATCGCAACAACCAGTACACTGCTGATCAACAATAGCCATCGAAATTTCATTCCGAACTAGGTGCTTTCATTCACCAAATAAATTTGAAACGGAGAATACTAATGGGAATCACGTTTGATCGAGAAACCGAGCGGAGAAGCGCGTTTCGCACGACGTACCAGTTAACTGTGTTCTGCCGAAGAGCATTCGAATTCGGCGAGGATGGACAAAAACACGATTTTTTGGTAGATTAAGTGTACATAAGTGACGTCACTATACGGTCTTTTATGAGATTGGGACTCGTTTATTTTTTATTATATCATGCGCACACATAGTTGAGAATAGAATACATACTTACACACTGGTCTCGGTTGGAATATGTCTCGGAAAGATAGGTAGATCAGTAGACGTAGAGTAAAATGGAATAAAACGCCCACCAACACTTTTTCGTTCTTCATTCTGGGATTTTGGTAGTTGGCATACTGATCTTCCTCGTCAAATTCATGAATTTCGAACGGTAATGCGCTATTTTACCCCAGAGGAGGCGTATTGTACCATTTTACCCTATGTTCATCGACGTGCCGGTAAGGTAGCATGAAGTGGTGTTCTTTCTTTTGCGACGGTGTGATTTGTTTAAGTTTGCATAATCATAGAAGATTTTTTTATCAGTTGATGTGCGTTGATCTCAGGTTTGAAGGCCTTGGTCACTATATAATGCTGATCAGCATAATTATGTAATCGAATATTCAATTTCTGATCATTTTGGTTCGCGCAATGGGGATTCACCAGCACATTCTATTGGCCAAGCACATGGGTTTCTGATGATGTTGACAACGGTAGAGAAATTCTAGTTTTGCGTTTGAAAAATAAAATGGTCTGGCAGAGTTGATACATTGAAGACAGACTCAGGTGTTATTGTTCTAAAAGGGGTCATCCACATGTTCGAGAATGGAGGGAGGGGGAGAGGAGAAGTTTCAACAATTATTTCAAAGCGAATACCACACTTATCAATATATTGACGCGAAGGGGAATTATTGACAATAATATTGATGATGTGAATACAGAAATATTGTCAATACCGATGTATTGACTATACGATTATTGTATTTGTAATTGTAATTGCTCAGTGTATAGGCTGTGCCAACCGCTAAGTAAGCTTATCTCGGGACTAACCCCCTAGTCTATACATCTACTGTCCTTCCCGTTGCACTCGTCAGCTCGTGCGATACTCTAGCCACACATGGGTGGTCGTATCCGGGTCCTTACCAGGGTAGGCTCGTGCCCGTCCAGGTTCTGGTACATTAACTTATCTCTATGCATGGTAATTATACTTTATAACTCACCTTTTGATAATAATGTCGATAATGCTAAAACTATATGAAGGTTAGTGATCAATATTATGTGTGTGCTGTGATGGAGTAGTAATTGAAGGAAATGAGGTTTTGATGTGGATTATAGGTAATTCTAAAATAGGTAAATCATGCAAGCACACACCTTTCACAATTCTTATCCTACTTACCATTTACGTCCAGTACTGCTTAGTCTCTTCTTTTCTTGTTCACGCTTTCACGCTTTTTTTGACGTAGGACTACGTCTTTGATTTCTATATGGGGGTACACTTTGTGAAAACCGAAAATGGAATATGTAACAAATTAAGAAAGATTTTGAACGTTAATAACACTCCAATTTCAATAATTTTATCACCAATTGATCAGAAATATGGCTACGCATCGATAACAATGCTTCCGAATGTTGATTTTCAACAAGAAACTATTGAAAAACTGGTAAATGTCCAGCATTGTACAAAAGCGTCGAATTAACTAACAAATCCACCAATACCTACATGCATATGCTACTTCCCCAGTACAGTCGTCAGAGAGTAGCAAGTAGACGAAACAAGTCGAAGTGGCATTCGCCTCCGATCCTCGGGCGCGTGCGAATAGGGAGGATGGAATTGCGTAATATTTTGCACACTCATCGCCATACTCAGAACCACACACTCCCAACGATCACACCACTGTGTGGTGGTGTTCGGTCGTCGAAATTAGTAGCAGCAGTAGCAGTGATTTTGGCGTCTGGCGTTGAAAATTGTTCTCCAGTAACAACGAAAGGCTGCCTGCAAGCAGCTATCAGCCCCGAAAATTGCGAAACAGATTGAAAGCGAGTTTTCCATTCAACTGACATCACAATCCTTACGAAATCGTCTTCATATGAAAAGTCTTAAGGGCAGAGTAACTCTTAAGAAGCCATGGTTGTCCGCAATATATAGCAAAAAAAGATTGAAGTGGGCCCAGGACCACATTTCATGGACCAAAATTTTATGGTATCTGATGGTATGGTCTGATGGTATCAATGGTGACCCAAATAGCATTACTTTCGTCTCGTCTGACTAGAGCATCTAATTCTAGTCATCACTGGTCCATGAAATGTGATCCTGGGCCCACTTCAATCTTTTTTTGCTATATATTGCGGACAACCATGGCTTAAGAAGCCATGGTTACTCTGCCCTTAAGACTTTTCTTATGAAGACGATTTCGTAAGGATTGTGATGTCAGTTGAATGGAAAACTCGCTTTCAATCTGTTTCGCAATTTTCGGAGCTGATAGTCCCCGGTCCAGCTCCGCCTTCTACACGATAGCTCTGTCAATTCGGTCAGTTGTCTTTGAAGGACGCCCCGATCGCTTAGCTGGTGAGATAGAACCACGCTTTTTATACATCTGCACAATTCTAGCGACCGTATCTTTGTGAAGCTGGACAATATCGGCAATATCACGGTAGCTTTTGCCAGTTTTGTGATGTTCAATAATCAAATTTCGGATACTGATCGAAATTTGTGCATTTTTGGGCATTTTGAAACAAATCACTTCCAATTTTGAGCACAAAACAGAAATTTTGAGCACGAAAACTTCAAGAGCGGTAAATGACAGATAGACACAATGTTTACATTAGATAAAGTTGCAGAATACACACTAAAACTCTGTAAAACACACTTAAATCATAGTATCCGCTTAGGGGTGGATACATTTTTTTGCGTAATTTTTTACAATTTTTCATAATTTATCACATGAAATCTCAAGAAAAGATATAAACGCCATATTTTCAATGGCAATGTGATAAATAAACATAAGTTGATAAATCATGGAGGAACACTCATAAAATTAAACTGATTTTCACCAGAAAAACAAAAAAAATGTAAATATGTGGGGCGGTGGATAAACTTTTTTTGCATACTGTACAGCTCGACAGCCTCATCCGTGTTGAACACCCAGTTCAGAATTACTCAACCATCACTACAAAACGGTCCTTTTCAGGGTCACCAAAATTTGTTAAAGAGTATTATTTGGACATTGGTCAAGGTCATCAGTTCCCGCAAGCAGCTAGCTATCAAGGCGCAACCTGTCTATAGAAGGTATGGAATTGTAGGCCTGAATATATTGGTCCAATTAGTTTTTCCTCGGCTTTCATTCCGCACGATTCGTCGAAAAGATTGTTTCAATCGGCGCTTACATATGAAATTTAATGTGGATTATAGAATTTTTTGTATGTTACCAAAAATTTATGAATGGTTTGCCAATAAATGATGAGATAATTTATTGATTTTTGAATTATCACACTGTATACCATGAAAAAGCAGCCTGTTTGTGAGTTTTTTTTTGTTATCATAAAAAAAAAAAAACAAATCGCCAGCGAGTATTTCCCGGCGACTTTACAAATAAATAAAATCAAACAAAATCATCATGCAGAACTAGCTAGGATTTGTTTTACTTCATATTTCACAAAATTGCTTTTGAGTGTTAAGACATCGTCTCCCGCAAAGTTTACATTTTTCCCTCTACCAACACATACATCAGGGCTAGATAGATCTCCACAGGATCTATAGAATCCACGCAATTTCAAAAAACCAAAATGCACAGCATTACGAAGAGAGGTCAGGTTTCGACCAATAGCAGATAGATTTTAATTATAAACAAGCCAAACGATTGGAAATTTATCTACCAATCTGCTAAAATGAACACTTAGGAAAATCCCAAAGACTTGGTAGCCATTAAAATGAAGTAATGAAATTGGGTTGTTAGATTTTAACAAGTTCTTTAGTGGGAATAATACTGATGAAGACTGCACATTGTAGTCGAAATACGTATCTGTCATGGATACAAAAAATAAATTAAGTGGAATTAAATGGAAGATAACCTTTTTTTGCTGTTTTATTTAAGCATTCCGCTAAAAACCCAAATTCATTACTTCATTTCATATAAATACTCTTCAATGGTACCGGAACTTTCAAGTTCTTATAACGCCTTGAGGCTGCTTAGAATTCTATATACCACCTTCAACTAAGCTGCGTAGCGTTAACGTTGTTATGATATACTTCGTAGATTGGATACTAGTGACACTCACGTCTCTTCTGAAATTCTCAGTTAGACTACTTTCAAGAATAATGCTGGGGAGTAAACATTGGTTTCAATCTAAACAAGAGTAACAGAAGCATGACTATCGCTATTCCCGGCCACGCCCACCTTTACCATAAAGGGATAGGGCAGGAAATGTTGATGTAGTACTTACTTAACGAGAGGCCACGGACTTAGCGACACCCACAAAAGGGCTACGGAGCTGGAGGGTTGGGTAGGGTATACGGTTAGGATTCACCTCAAGTTCGCGATGCAACCAAAAGTATGTATTGTTTATTTGTTGTTTATTTAATCTCTCGATAGCCAGCTATCGAAAGAACATATTCATTTTGTTTAGTGATCATGAATTTTAAGAGTCATGACGGAGAGCTTGGGATTAAACCCATGATTTTCTGCTCAGTAAGCAAAAACGATCCCTCCAGGGTCATCGAGCATCTCAGAACCATAACGCTTCGCGACAATACAGGACTACGTTTTCGCTTGATATGCAAATAGTTTCCGAGGTTAATGTTCAATATCTAATATACAAATTATGGTGGCGATTTATTGTGCTCTGGAAGAGGTTGGGGTTAAATCCACGATTTTCTGCTCAGTAAGCAAAATCGATCCCTCCAGGGTCATCGAGCATCGCCAAATCCACTTGCAGTCACAATCAACGATTCTACGAATCGCGAGCGCTCACGAATCATAAAACCGCTGACTGCGACACTATGAAAGCGAAATTGACAGACTCTATGCGTCATCTATAGCAAGTGAGTGGAAGCAACCCTGCATGCAACCATTCTTTATGATACACTTTTTCTGCCTATCTTTCTATTGGGCCTGTGGACATGCGTTAGCTTCGAAACTTCTAACCAAACTGGGAAAATTTTCAGGTCACAAAAAAAAACTTGAAAAAAACTTTCGAAGGTAATTACAAGTAAAATAAATATTGATTATTTTACGCAAAAACGAGCAAGTAATATTAAATCTCTTGTATCGTATGCTAACGCTAATTGACTCTAACAAAAATAATATGCTTAAAGAAAATAAAATATTAATAAAATTATATGCAAAATTTACTAGAAGATCATTACTTTATTGGTGAGATGTTTATAATAAGCCCTCCCAGTTCCTCTGTATACAGAACAAATCTGATACTACAATCAGAATTGCTCAGCCTGCATGAAGCAGCCGATTTCATCAAGGAAGTTCTATTAACAACCAATAATTAATCGTTTGAGGCATACTGAAGCATTCAGAAGGTGATATGTGACACCATAGGAAATCATCATTATTGCAAATATAAAGAAATTAAACATAACCCTTTGCTTAAGTACCGTCAACCTCCATGTCCATGGGGAGGGCACCTTCAACCAAGCTGCGTAAGCCTCAAATAGTTTTTTTTATCAGAACTTTTGGTTACTTGGGAAGTTTTTTAAAATGGCGCATTCGACATATTTCAATAAATCATATAGTACGAAAATGGCGTATCTAATCGAAAAGACGTCTGAAACAAGGCTGTAGGATTTTATTAAAAAAATTAATATGTAATGATAATTAACGCTGCTAAAAAATTACGGACAAGGTGGAGTTGCTATTGCAATCAAACATGGAATAAAATACTCAAAAATGCAACTTAACACAAGTCTTGAAGCAATAGCTATAAAAATCAACCTACCTCGAAAAATGACTCTCTGTAGCATATATCTGTCACCAAATCAGATAGTTAACAAAAAAAGAACTTGACAACATAATTAACCTTATCCCCAAGCCATTTATTATATCGGGAGACTTCAACGCTCACCATAGTCTATGGGGATCAAATAGAGATGATTGCAGAGGAAAAATGATCGCCGAAATAATACAGGAACAAGAGCTTATACTACTGAATGACGGCAGCCCAACTTTCATACATTCGGCAAACGCATCGACATTACTTCGGCGAAATGCATATAAAATAATAATTTAAGACAAACCACGTATCTTAAAAGTGGTCTACAAAATGATTGCCAACTTAAATAAATTTCTAAAGAAAAAAACATCTACGATTTTAGTCCATTTCAGTTAAGTAAACATTTTTAATAAGTTTAAAAATCCTAAAAATGTTATGTTCATTTTTTGACGAAATTTTCTGAATATTTTTTTTATGTATTTTCATTATCCAGTTCCAGCATTTCAGTTTTCTACAACTTTCTCTCAGACGTCATTTGGATTAGATGAGCCGTTTTCGTGCTATGATTTATTGAAAAATATCTAATACGCCATTTTGAAAAATTAACCGTGAGTCAATATGACCGAACTCCGACACAAACTTTTTTCATTAGGAACGAACAATTATGCGAACCTTGGAATTCTGAGAAGTATTGGGACGGTACTAATGGATATTTTTGGCCGCTATTGAAAATTTAGTCGATTGCTGAACATACAGTACTGGACAAAATAAATCATACACCCATATAATTTTTCTTTGGAGCTCGATATATCAGGTAGAATCAAACATACAATAATGGTTTGTTCGGCAATACTTCTGTATGTTTTTCGCTAAAACTGTGCAGGTATAAAATATTCAATATATTGTATGACTTTCTCAATCATCATTTATAAGTTGTAAAAGGAGAATTTCGAGTTGGACAAAATAAATCATACGCCTGATTTCTTATTGAATTCTTGTTTAATTCAACTTTCAACTTACATTTTAACACTCTCCGTATTTGATATGACCACCCTTTGCTTTCAACACTGCTTCCAACCGTCTTGGCATACTTTCGACGAGGTTTTGTAGATATCCTGAATCGAGTGCTTCAAAATAAACGTTTTTGTTGGAAACCGATGCTTTATCCACTTTGTTATCCAAGTAAGACCACAAATTCTCAATTGGGTTGAGATCGGGAGACTGGGGAGGCTATTCCAGCGTTTTGATCCGATTTGATTTTAAAAATGCCGTTTTTTTCTTCGCTGTGTGCTTTGGGTCATTAGCTTGTTGGAAAATGTGTAGCGAAACTTTCAGATTCTCACTTAACAAGTCAATGTACGCATCTGCAGTCATTATTCCCTTTATATGAGCCAAGCTTCCAACACCAGATCACGCAAATGCTTCCCATACCATGATATTTCCGCCTCCGTGTTTAACCGTCTTTTGAATGTATGGTTCCTTAAGAGCGTCACCGGAACCTCGTCAAACCCTTGATCGCCTTTTCTGTCCAAATATCTCAAATTTGCTCTCATCCATCCACAGAACTCGTTTCCAGAAGTCCACAGTCATTCCGGCGTACTTTTTTAGCAAATTCCAGTCGCTTCCGTTGGTTCCGCTTGTTGATAAAAGGACGCTTCGATGCCAAACAGCTTTTCAAACCGCTCACATTAAGTCGCCGGCGAACAGTACGTCTCACGATCGCGAATCACCAAATTTCTAACATCGAGCGAAATCTGCTTTCCCGACATTTTTCACTTTTCAAATGACGCAAACAAAACACAATTGTGCGATGCGCACGCTTCCCGGAACAAGAACTGTCAAATATTACGCCGTGATGCCAAATCTTCAGATTTTGTTTTTATTCAATAGCTTAAAAATAAAATCTTAGGAGTGTATGATTTATTTTGTCCAAGCACAGCAGTGAGCATATATTTATTTAAATTTGTAACAAAAATAGCAAAATATTATAACAATTTTCATTCAGCTAATTGAATGCACCATGAGAAATACTTGAACTTTTCTGAATATACTGCTGAAATTGCGTGCAAAATAGCTAAAATATGATGTAATGCACTTTTTTGGGAAGCGTGTGATTTATTTTGACCAGTACTGTATATATAGGAGCATTCCCCTACATAGATAATAAAAAACCATGAAAAATGTAAACTTCTTGCAAGAACTTATGCCTCTTGGAATAAATCATTTCAAAACTCGATCGTAGCTTGCATGCATTATCTTCCAACCAAGTTCGTTGTTGACAGAAAATGTATGCGATATAACTACGACACGTGCTTATTCTACATATTGTTTGCAACCGAAAAGTAAACCGTTTCCCTCTGGAACAGCGGATAGCCGGTCATTTTTCATCATCACCATCGGCAGAACACCCTTATCAGGTGATAGGTGATAATAGAAGTACATCACCGCATTTCTAGACGAACATTTCAGAAGGTTCAGTCTACATTGCTCGATTCTCTGCATCGAATTTTTCTTCCGGTAATAACTCGGCTGCAATCACATTCTCTGGTATGCTTGTCGTTGAAAGGTGCTTGATAATGAAAAGTGCTTATTCAATCCTTTTACAATGTTCATCTAGATTTGTTTGCAGTCAGCTCGTCTCAATGCAGTTTAAAACTGTGCAGTGCTCATCTAATTCGCATTCACTGGGAAGTGTAAGATCAGTATTAGACAACAACGGTATGTACACACGTGATAATATAGGTATACAAGATAGTAACCGCTTGCAGTGATGGTACAAGTTCAAATAATTTCGCGCTTCAGCTATAGCTATACCTTGTTGACGGTGGCACCGATTCGAAAACGCCACAATAAAGTAGTTCACATTTGATTGTGATAATGTTCGGACGGCTAGGTTTCCTTGTGCTAATTAGCTGTTTGCTTCATTCTCTGCAACCTTCGAATGGAGCGCGCATCCTGGGAGTTCTTCCGTCGGCAGGATGGTCGCATTACGCCATTGGAGAAGGTTTGATGAAGGCTTTAAGCCGAGCAGGACATGATGTTACGGTTATCGGTTCGCACCAATGGAAGGAAGCTCCTGCTAACTATCGTAGTATCGAGCTAAAAGAGTTAGTGTTCGATAAAGGAGGTGATATCATTCAATAGAATCGATAGGTGTTAAATGTCTTTATTGATACCTATCTTATCTCGTGTAGGATCCGAACCAGATCTATTTCAGTACCGCAACGATCCGTATTTGAATGTACTCTATCTGCTCTATACGGTGATAGGACCAAGCTTATCAGAAGTTATTCTGAACCATCCAAAAGTGACAACGCTTATGAATTCTGACGAGCATTTTGACGTCGTTATTGTTGAGTGTTTCGTAAGCGACGTATTGTACGGATTCGCTCAACATTTCAATGCTCCACTGGTGGTATTTTCGCCTTTCGGTGCCTCATTATGGGCTAACGAACTTGTCGGAACACCTTATCCGTATTCACAAATACCGCATACATTTCTCAGCTTTACGGATCGAATGACGTTCTCGGAACGGTTTCTCAATGCTCTTCTATGGAACTCGGATCGGTTTTATTATAGAAATGTGTTTCTTCCACGGCAGGAAGAAATGTACGCAAGGTACTTCCCGAACGCAACGCAATCTTTGACACAAGTCATGAAAAATGTCAGCCTGGCTTTCTTGAATCAGCACTTTAGTTTAAGCTTTCCGCATCCCTATGCGCCGAACATGATTGAAATTGGTGGGATTCAGATGGACGAACCGAAAGCTCTGCCGGAGGTATTTAGGAAACGTTTCGACGAGGCTTAGATTAAGAATAATCCAATTGTTTTGATTGTAGGATCTTCAACAATTGTTAGACAACTCCAAGCATGGAGTTATCTACTTCAGCATGGGATCGATGCTGAAAGGATGCAAATTTCCAGAGGAGAAACGCAATGCTTTCATCCAAGCGTTCTCAAAACTGAAGGAAAATGTTCTTTGGAAGTACGAAAACACCAGTCTGCCGAACAAACCGAAGAACGTCTTTATCAGGAAGTGGATGCCTCAGAATGATGTTCTTGCTCATCCCAACGTTAAACTGTTTATCACTCACGGAGGCCTTCTCGGATCAACGGAATCACTGTACCACGGCAAACCCATGGTAGGTGTTCCCATCTACGGGGATCAGCGTTTGAACATGGCACGTGCCAAGAATGCTGGATACGGAACTCACATCGAGTATGAACATCTGAGTGAAGAATCCATTTCACGAGCAATCAGAACCGTGCTTGACGATCCTTCGTATGCTAGAAATGCAATGCTGATTTCCGAAAGGTACCGTGATAAACCAATGACACCGGCGCAGCTGGCCGTCTACTGGGTGGAATACGTCGTTAGACATCGTGGCGCACCGCAGCTGCACTCCGCTGCTCTAGAATTGTCCTTTATCGAGCACAACCTGTTCGATGTTTACGGTTTGATGTTATTAATAGTGGGCATGTTTATGGCGTGTGTATATTTGATGGTTAGGAAAATGATGCGACTAATTGGTTTGTTGCCAAATGGCGGAAACGTCGTTAAAAATAAACAAGAGTGAAAGTTTTGCCAAGTTTGGTCTACACTGAGAAGTGAATGAATTTCTTCAATCAAATGTTATCGTTTACTAGATCAGTAAACTGGTTGAAATATCTATCCTTCGAGAGTACAAAATAGCGTCTTTGTAGTTGATTGTATAAGACATTCATATTACAATATAGTTCTTAAAAGTTATATGGTAAAGAGTCGGAGGAATAATATTTAAGAATTGTGTAAGAGCAGGGTAATTTTGATGAAAGGTATTTCTGAAATTATGTAATTTTATCAATTCCAATGTAAATGAACCCACCCAAATCAATTTATTGTTTAAAACCGCAAGGTTGTGCTGGATGATCGATAAAAACGTAGCTAGCGATGTCAAGAGTTTGTAAGACACATTAAGTGTAACAGCACGGTCGATTCCGGAAACTTTTTTCACAACATGTAATTTTCCAACTGTGTGTGTCTAGTGCTAAATTTTCAGTCTGAGCCAAAGTCTGAGAAACTGTTGGTTGAAGACGATGTCTTTACAGTTAGACTACAGAAGCGCCATCCATGTCATAGCAATAGATATGTGAAAGAATCTGGTTAACGAAACAGGTTACGATTATATAAAGCTGAACTCTGGAAATCCCCAACGATTACATCCGTGTCTTAGTACACATCATCAATTCTAGTGACGATTACAGCATCGATGAGGTTCCAAAAAGAAAAGTTTTATAGTTGAGAATTATTGAAAATGTAAGAAGTTTGAGTTCGACACATCATTTGTTTCCTGAACAATTAGCAAATCAAAGTTAGAATAGAAGAACTATGAAAGTGATGATGGTTTCAAAATTTTCCACGTTGAGGTATACGAGTGCAATCTTAAAATGCTTTTATTTTGCAAATGGAGCATTTTGTTTAAATCTGGTTGCTGATACAGTGGTAGAAAATCTTAAATCTATGTATACACCTTTAAATCTGAAAATAAATTATTTTTTATATATTATATGTCTATTGAACAAACCAAACAAAGAAAACTACTAATGAAGCATTAACCAGATTTAAATAAAATGTTCCATTTTCAAAATAAAAGCATTTTAAGATTGCACTCGTATACCTCACCGTGTAAAATTTTGAAACCATCATAACTCTCATAGTTCTTCTATTCTCCACGACTGCCAACTTTGATTTGCCAATAGCTGTATAAGCATAATAGGGGAAACAGTCCTATTGTTGCGGTACGTTAGGAGCGTTAGAAGCCTATTGTTGCGTATGGAGGTCTTCATACACATCAATAGGCTCCTAATGCTTCTAACGTATCGCAACAATAGGACTGTTTCCCCTACTTGATTATGAGAGGTATAACTGATTTGTGTAAGTGTTCACTCAACATGTATTTATTAAACACCTACTTCAATAGATGACCTTCTCCTGCAGCTATCCAATAGGTGTTTAGAGCAGAAACTACCATGAAGGTACCATACCTTACACAAATAAGGTGCACGGGCACGTGGATAATTTTTCTTATTTTCAAAAGTAGTTTCTTCGTTAGTTTAGAAATTTCGGGCCATGAATACATTTTCATGGCCTGCAATAATAAGTATAAGTTTATTTTTCCTTGATTTGTTTTCCGTCGATCTTGTTTTCCGTGCTGAGCACCAATGCTACCGACGCCAGGGAGGCAGCTCTCACACCTGGACCCTACCTATCGACCCATCAACTCATGAACCGGGGACCCGGGTTTGATTCAGAATCTCCTCCATAGATGTTTACTGCAAATAAAACAAATGACTTCAAATATACCAAGCTTCATTATATGTGGAATAGTAGGCTTATTTTTAATTAATTTTTACTATAGTTCCTTTAACACTCTTGGGTCATTCATGACTTGTCCGGGGATGAGGTTTGAACTCGTGACTTTGGTATGAGAAATATGGATAGTAATCACTTCGCCGGGGCTGTCCCCACTTTTTTTTATTACAGTATCCAATGTTTTTTTTTATCTTATTTTTAACAGCTAAAACTTTCATTAAACAACGCTTATTTAGAATATGTATAACTGGTACCGTTAAATAGGTGCGTAATGCCAGTGGGTACTTGTCCAAATTATAAATGAACGCCGTTTAATTGCAATTTTAGCTATTCAAATCATCGGGGTTTTCCTGTACTCAGCACTTGACCTTATAGATTATTTGTATGCAGCTTTGGACATAATCAAATAGGGTAAATGACGGCTTCGGCATCCATTGACTGTTTTCGGCAACCAAAATTTAATCGGTAATCACACTGCATTCCTTAGTACGGTGCTTCATTTTGAAAAAAAAGTAGAAGGATCTGTGCCTAGGGGCACGATCGGAAGCTTCACGTAGGACCGCCAGTGGACGGAACAAATGTGTTGAGCCTTTAGTTCTTTTAATTGACCGATAATCTTTTATCTTCCGTTTTTGAATTGGTGGCCCTAAAAAGGGCCGGTTGTTTTTTTTAATGATGGCCCTGAGAAGGGCCGTTATTTGCTTTTTTTCTGGTGTCCTTTTGATCGTTTGGGACGGCTACCGTGTAGCCGATGAAAAATAGTGATTTATTGATACCTGAAATTTTAAAAGTTTGTTTGTGACATTAAATTCTGAATGATGATATTACTACTTACCTAAATCAGTCAGTATAGGCCGATGGTAAGAGAAATAGGTGATGAATACTTTAATCTAAGATCTGGAATATGTAGCGCAAAGGCCTTGAGTAGTTGGCATAAACGTGGTTACTCTTAATTCTTTTCATTGTAGGATTCTATTGATTATTCGAAAATCTATTATCATAGCTCCTTCTGTATTTGGTCCATCGAAAGTGCTGTTGGAGTTGGAGGATATGGAACGAATAGGCACTAATCCTCGCACTAATCGCTGTTGCCTTTTGGCGCTCCTTTTATTTTGGCGCTATTTGTTGATATGGCTGTTGTATTTGCTTCAGAGAACTAACACGAAATGCATAAACGTGCTACCAATTGATGTCTTCTGGAAGGTTTATTTTTTTTTTTGTTTATTAATTTATTTGATAAGGCTCAACCGAATTAACTTAACAGAGCCGAGGATTCTTGGCCACTATACAATACATCTTAAAACTATAGTCAAAAGGTACAACACAATAAACACTTTATCTTCCGCTATCCAAAAAGCCTCCTCCATCAGAACTGGAGCCGCTTCCAGTAGTTTCATTGTATGGCAAATTGTTGTACGCCAACGAGGGTCAGAGCGCGTCCATTGCAGCAATGGACGCAAAACGTGGTCAGCACTCACACACTCATCACGAAACGGTTGCTTTCCAAAGTCGACGACGCATCGACCGAAAGAACTGCTGATGAAGAACAATGAAGAGGACCACACAATGGTTGCTGCCGAGAAAACAGACGATCGCGTAGCACACATCGAGAGTGGCCTGCTTTTGTCGACTACCGAGTGAACACTGTGGAAGGTTTAGAGCTGGATGATTTACGCAAGTTTATTCTCTCACGAAGACTCAATGACCTAAAGCTGATAGTGATTTTCCGAACACTGCTATTGGCATTGATTGCTGATTGTTTGCTGTTATTTCTCTCCATGGTTCCAAAATATTTCAATTTTGCGAACCTGTTTTACCCACCATCTAGAGATCTTAAAAGAAATTCTATAGCGTAGAAATATAGTGGCACTGAAAAAGGCCATTTGGGATTCAACAGATTTACATGAAGTGCAATGAAGATATCAACCTTTGCCGCACATCTCTTAACGACAACGCAATCATCACCTCGGCCGATGACATCAACCACTCGAGAGCGGCCTTCCCTGTTCTTCCAACAACATCGTAAGTTTCTACTACCAGAACGTTAGGGGCCTCAGAACCAAAATAGAAGACTTCTTTCTCGCTGTCTCGGAGATGGAGTACGACATCGTTGTTCTCACAGAAACCTGGTTAAACAACGAGATCTCATCGCTTCAAATTTTTGGGCCACAGTATCAAGTGTACCGTAAGGATCGCGATCCCATACGATCTGGTAAGACAAGAGGTGGTGGGGTACTAGTAGCTGTGCATACTCGATTGAGCTCCAGCATTTGTTCTGTCGCAGTGGATGCAGATATAGAACAGATTTGGGTAGATATATATGCAGGAGCTAGACATATTTACGTAGGGTCCGCTTACATTCCTCCTGATCTGGCAGGCAACGTGAACATTATTAGTAAGTTCGTTGAATCAGCTGATAGAGTTCTAAACTCGGCTCAAGAGCAGGATTTGCAAATGGTATTTGGAGATTTTAATCAACCTTAACTTGTATGGTACCCAACCCCGGATAGATTTGCCCTTACGGATCCCCACGAATCTTCGTTTCCACAATCCAGTATTGCTCTACTTGACGGAATGACAGTACTTTGTTTAAAGCAGTTGATTTCGATCAAAAATGTAGGAAACAAAACCTTAGACCTTTTGTTCGTTAACGCAGACACCAGACCATTATGTGACATCTCTGAGCCCCCTGAACCACTAACAAGCGTGGATCAATTACATCTGCCATTCCAAGTTTTACTGCAGTGTTCTCCGCCCACCAGGTTTGAAGAACTAAACGACGACAGAGAGTTCAACTTCAGTAAAACTGACTTTGCCGCTCTGAATCTGGCTCTCTCTTCCATCGACTGGTCCCGACTGTATGAGTCTGTTGACGTTAATGAAGCAGTTGATGTGTTCACCATCACCTTGCACCAATTGTTCGGTGATCATGTCCCTCCACCACGTTCTCGCCCATCACCGCTATGGTCAAATAGCCATCTCCGACAACTCAAACGTGAGAGAGCAGCAGCACTGAGGGACAAGAACCCCTTCTCCAAGAGAAATTTCTGTGTTGCTAGTAACAGATACAAAAAGTATAATCGCTTTTTGTATGCTAGACATGTTTGTCGGCTTCAATTTCAATCAGATCTCAAAGAAAACCCGAAAAGATTCTGGACGTTTGTTAACAACAAAAGAAAGGAAAATGGCCTTCCAACGAACATGTTTCTGGGAGCCGAATCCTCTGACT